GAATAGAGGAGATCAGGATGAGAGATACCATATTAGAGGGAGCCATTATAGGTCCAAGGAGAGATCTGGCACTAGGGAGATTTCCAGAGACCTACAAGGATGACACGATCTGACATTCTAGGCAATGGTGGAGAGAATAACCTACATGCCCTTCCCCTATAATGAGACTGATGACTACTTTTTATGGTACCCTGGAGCCCTCATCCAGTGGCTAATGGAAGCAGAGGCAGGCACCCACAGATACACACTGAACTGAACTCTGGAACTTAGTTGCAGAGAGGGAGGAATGAAGATCAAAGGGGTGGGTAACAGGCTGGTGAAACTCACAGAAATAGCTGGCCTGTACAAGGGGGAGCACATGGACCCCAGACTGCTCTCTGGGAGGCCAGTACAGACCCCTGAACATGGATGTCAATTAGGAGGCCTCTGCCATCCGGACCCCAGACTGCTGTCTGGGGGGCCAGTACAGGACAAATCCAGATCCCTGAACATGATGTGAATTAGGAGGCCTCTGCACTCTAGGGGGCACCTGGTAGTGGATTGGTATTTTTCCCTGGTGTAAAAAGGGACTTTGAGAGCCCATTCCATGTGAAGGGATACACTCTGGCCCTGGACACATGGGGAAAGTCCCAGGCCCATCACAGGAAGATTTGGTGGATTTGCAGAGCCCCAGTTGAGGGCCCTACCCTGCCTGGGGAGTGGTGGGGGGGGAGGGGGAAGGGAGAGGGAGAGGGAGAGGGAGAATGGATTGACATGTGAAGCAATTGTTCCTAATTTGAACTAATAAAAAAAAATTAAAAAAAAAAGCTTAAATCAAACCCCACACACTTATAGTGGGAGAGTTCAACACCCGAATTTCACCACTGTACAGATCTGCCAGACAAAAGCTTAACAGAGATATAAGGGAACTAATACAGGAAAAATCATCAGGTTATAACTCAAATGGACTTAACAGACATCTATAGAACATTCCACCCAAACACAAAAGAATATACTTCCTCATGGAACCTTCTCAAAAACCGACCATATACTTGGTAACAAAGCAAACCTCAACAGATACAAAAAAATTTGGAATAAACCCCTGTACCCTATCAGATCACCACAGATTAAAGTTAGAATTCAACAGCAACATTGATTTCAGAAAGCCCACAAACACATGGAAATTGAACAATGATCAAATGAACCACTACTGGGTCAAGGAAAAATTAAAGAAATAAGACTTCCTAAAATTTAATGAAAATGACCTCACAACATACCCAAACTTATGGACACAATGAAAACACTGCTGAGAGGAAAGTTCATAACACTAAATGCCTACATGAAGAAGCTGGAAAAATAGCACACTGGTGAATTAACAGAACAACAGAAAATGCTAGAACAAAAAGAAGCAAACTCACCCGGGAGGACTAGATGCAAGAAATAGTCAAATTGAAGGCTTAAATAAGTAAAGTGGAAAAAAAGAAAACAATGCAAAAAATCAATGAGACAAAGAGTTGGTTCTTTGAGAAATTCAACAAAACAGACAAACCTTTATCCAAACTAGCAAAAAGGCAGAGAGAGAATATCCAAATTAACAAAATCAGAAACTAAAAGGGGACATAACAACACATACTAAGGACATCCAGAGAATCATCAGGTCATACTTCAAAAACTTGTACTCCAGGTTAAGTACCACATACCAAAATTAAATCAAGAACAGATAAACAACTTAAATATACCTATAACCCCCTAAGGAAATAGAAACATTTATCAATAGTCTCCCAACCAAAAAACACCCAGGCCCAGATGGACTCAATGAAGAATTCTAATTTATGTTCAAAGAAAAGCTAATACCAATGCTCCTCAAATTACTCCATATAATAGAAACAGAAAGAACATTGCCAAACTCTTTTCATGAGGCTACAATTACACTGATACCCAAAACAAAAAGACCTAACTAAGAAAGACAATTACAGACCCATTTCCCTCATGTACATAGATGCAAAAATACTCAATAAAATACTGGCAACCCTAATTCAAGAACACATCGGAAAAATCATCCACCATGACCAACTAGGATTCATCCCAAAGATGCAGGGATGGCTCAACATGTGAAAATCCATCAATGAAATTCACCATATAAACAAACTGAAAGAAAAAGAAACACATGATCATCTCACTAGATGCTGGAAAAGCCTTCCAGAAAATTCAACACCCTTTCAAAATAAAGGGGATAAAAGGGATACAAATTGAAAAAGAAGAAGTCAAACTGTCACTATTTGCTGATGATATGATAGTATACATACGTGACCCCAAAATTTCTACCAAAGAACTCCTACAACTGATAAATACCTTCAATAATGTAGCAGGATACAAGATTAATAGAAAAAAATTAATTCAGTAGCCCTCCTATATACAGATGGCAAACAGGATGAGAAGGAAATCAGAGAAACATCACCCTTCACAATAGCCACAAATAACATAAAATACCTTGGGGTAACTGTAACCAAACAAATGAAAGACCTGTATGACAAGAACTTCAAGTCTTTAGAGAAAGAAATTAAAGAAGATACCAGAAAATGGAAAGATCTCTCATGCTCTTGGATAGATAGGATCAACATAGTAAAAATGGCAATCCTACCAAAAGTAATCTACAGATTCAATACAATCCCCATCAAAATCACAGCACAATTCTTCACAGACCTCAAAAGAGAAATACTCAAATTCATATGGAAAAACAAAAAACCCAGGATAGCCAAAACAATCCTATATAATAAAAGATCATCTGGGGGCATCACCATCTCTGATTTCAAGATCTATTATAGAGCTATAGTAATGAAAACACCCCAATATCAACCCACACACCTATGAATGCCTAATTTTTTACAAGGAAGCTAAAAATATGAAGTGGGAAAAGATACCTTGCTCAGCCTAGACAAGGGTGTGGGGGTAGAGAGGTGCCTTGGTCCTGCCTCAACTAGATGATGGGACAAACTTAGTAGACTTCCTAGGGGAGCCTTACCCTCTCTGTGGAGCAGATGGGAGGAGAGGGAGTATAAGGAGTGGAAGGGAATTAGGGCAGGGGAACTGAGATTGGAATGTAAAAAATAAATTAACTTTTAAAAATCAAAAAAAAGAAAAAATATATCCAGAAAAATGTATGAAAGTTCACAAGAGTTTTATTTATCTTTACCCAAACTAAATAATCCAAAATACAAACAGTAAATAGATAAATTCATTAGCAGGAAATAGCTTAGTCATGTCAGTAAATAGGACATTACCAAAAGGTCCCAAGGTGAGCAAACTAGGAAGGATTCCAAAGCCACCAAGAAGACAGTGGATAATCTGTGACATCAGCCCAACTAGACTATGTTTACCTGCTCTAAGTTTGGTATAACATCATTCTAAGCCAAAAATTCCACTACCAAATAGGTAGCTAAGATGTACATCACTAATAGCTATGCAGCAGTTTACAGGACCTGACCCTTTTCCTGGCTATTATCTATTGCATCACACACATGAATGTAACCCTAAAGAGACAAAAAAAAAAAAAAAATAAGAGGAATACTTAGGAACAATTCTACTTACTTGAAGTTTGTATAATATCAGAAACTGGTCTGAACAGTGAGATCAAGCTCAGTGACTATCTGGACAGTGGAATGGGAAGAAGACAGACAACATGAGGGAATTCTCTGGGCTACTGGAAATGGTTTGTACATTAAAGTGATGTCTAAGCTAGTGTAGTGAAAATAGAGACACATTCATAGCTTCAGGTTCACAAGCACAGGAAAATATCATAAAGGAGTAGAGAGAGTATTTGAGGTTTCATGGGCCAGTGTCTCTGTCAACACAACCCAGAATTCAGAACACAAAGCCAACTAACTATAGCCAATATGTAAAGCTAACACACATGATTATGTTTCAATAAAACCTTATTTTAAAAAAGGACAGTAAATTAGTGTAGGCACATGGGGTGTAGTTTGCTGATCTCTGAATAAAAATGGTTGAAAAAATTACTTTTTAAAGATTATTTGAAAATACAGCTCTTTTCCAAATACTATATCCAAGAAAAGTCAGTTATGACTTATTGATTTGCCAAAGTACCCAACTTAAGTAAATCAGCAGCAAGAAAACAAATGGCACACATTTTTCATTGAATGATTGTTCCTATTGCCATTGCTTACAAGCCAATAAACAGACAACTCCCAGCTTTAAATGTCCCCTCGAGTCTCTCTGTGGAAAACAGTAGTCCACCAGAAATCTCAACTCCTGGTCTCTCATCCCAACACCTCAACCTAAATATTCTCTTCTATGCTCAGGCCTTGCATAGCCTCCGCCCTCTGCCAGGTGTCCTTTCTTTCAACTAACACCTCTACCTTTCAGACTTTGTCATTTTGTTCCTGACATCCCAAACTGAGGTGGCTACCCTCACAGACACCATTATTGCAGCACATACTTACGTCCCTCGCAGGACCGCCACACTGCACATATTGTACTGGTCAACTTACTGCTGAGAGCTGGGGGGATGAAGTGTGTTTAGTGAAGGGACAGCTAAAACTCAGCATTGGCTGACAGAGTGTTGACTCCTACCAGCAAACAGCTTCTTCAGGTGGGACTGAATCACTGATGGGTTAGTGGACTGGCCCAGGATTTCTAACAAGTCATCATCGCCAATAAAATAAAATCTTGGGAATGCTGACCGTTTTTCCTAATGAAAAGGAAAAGAAGAAAAGAGAAAGCTTTTTCTCTTTTCAATAATTAAGATAATGAATATGCTACAATTTGTTAAAGCTTAAAATAGAGACATGCCTCCAAAAATTCATTTAAGGATTTCTGACATCTTTGAAGTTGATCAAGTATTGTTAGCAGAGCATTTCGGATTCCTGCATGAGTAGTCAATGTGGTGACTCTGTTGTCTTTCTTGATGTCCAACATTATTGATCTACAAAATAAAATTTATTTCACATTTATAATTAATAATTCACCATGCTTCTAATAAACCATGCTAAAATTAATGCCTTTGTAATTTTTCCATCAAATGTACAAATCCTCTTCATTCATTCATTCATTTATTCAGTAAACAATAAGTCTTATGTCCTAAAACTAATGGTCCAGTGACACAGAAGTACATTAAATAATGCTTTAACATACCTAAGTATAATAAACACCAGGAAGAAAAGATACACAGTGTTGGCACAATGACTAACAGGACAACCTACAACTTAGGCCTTCTTGGGGAAGTGATCCAAGCTGAGATAGGCATAATGAATAAACAGAAGAAGAGTTTAAGACTGAGGTCCTGGAGCCAGGTATTGGTGGCACACGCCTTTGATCCCAGCACTCGGGAGGCAGAAGCAGGTGGATCTCTGTGAGTTTGAAGCTAGAATGGTCTAAGTGAGTTCCAGGACAGGCTCCAAAGCAATACAGAGAAACCCTGTCTCAGAAAAAAACAAAAAACAAAAACAAAACAAAACAAACAAACAAACAAAAAACACTGAGATCCTGGGACATAGCTACATGTACCTAAGCCACTGAAGGAGAGCAGCAGAGGCTAGAGAGATGGCAAGGTACACATATGTTGTCTCCATAGTGCAATGGGTCACCATACATATGAAAGTTTAATTATAATAGTAAAATTTTAAAAATAAGGAAATTTCATTCTAATTTATTATTCTTGCTCTCATGTGAAAAACTTTAAGAAGAACAAATCAGAAGGCTAATGTAGCAGCTATGTGAGAGATAAAGATATAAAATGAGAACATAGATTTAACAACTGATTTGGGATTGGAGGAAATGAAAGACACCAAGATGTCCCTTATGTCCTGTAAGCAGCAGCCAGTGGGCAGAACTTCCTGGGGCAGGACGAGAAAGAATACTGGTGAATGGTGCTGGGAGTGAGATGGAGAACTTGTTTCACCCGTTGCCTGAGGATGCTTGGGAGTTTTAAAGCTTAGAAGAGCATGACTGTATATGTATGCAAGATCTCAGCAAACAGAAAGAAATGATTCCACCACTAGTGAAGATGACAGAGCCTTCCTCAGTCCTCGGGGAGGCTTCCTACCACACAGGAAATAAGGGGAACACAATGTAAGTACATCTATGAAATATGGGAAAGACATGGACCAAACCAAAGTGCTTCTGAAAGAATCCCCTGGAAGAGGAAGAAGGCAGAAGGGTGAGTACACTCAGGACCCCCAAGTGTGTGAAGGGAATCACTTGTACTAAGCACTTTACACAATGTGAGTAAAATGTCACCATGTGCCTATGTTTCCATAGCTGTACTGACCTAAAATCTTCATCAACTTTGTTGAAGCGTGTCTGTTCTTTAGGCAAAGCTCCACGGCCAAAAATGGGCTCCAAATACACCCATTTTCTCTGAATATGATTTAAATTCTGCAGGTACTCATCTAGCTGTGCAAGTTTTCTTTCCCAAATTGACACTTTATCTTCGAATCCTTTGTAATATGGAGAATCTTTTAAGGACTGAAGAAGGCATCTATTGTCTCCAACCTGGTTGACTATGTCTTTCCAGTCTTTAATCAACTTGATCATTCGATTCTGGCTGTCTTCATAATCAATCAGTGAGAACACGGCTCCAACTCCCCACAAATCAAGTTCACGCAAAGCTTCTCTGATGGTAACTTCCCCTTGTGCCCGACTATTCAAATCCTATTAACATGAAAGATTAGTACTTGTTATTTTAAAACTAATTATCCCATAAATAAATCATGAGAAATACCTGTAGTGGGGTATGGTAGTCCATGCCTGTAATCCTAACCCTTGAGAGGTAGAGGCAGGAGGATCAAGGAATTCTATACCCTCTCC